AAATCGAGCCCCGCTCCAGCCTCATGCCCATGCCCAGCTGCCCTACGTGCCCCCTTCCCTTCCCCGAGGCCCGGTGGGCAGACGGGCCTCCTCCTCCCCGCCCCCCCCCCCCCCCCCGCCCGGCCTTCACCAGCCTCTCCCGCCCTCAGGATCCTCCACAAGCTCTGCAAGAGCCTGGGCCTCAACCTGACCAAGTTCACCCAGTACGACGAGAACACGTGGACGGAAGTGAACGGCGTGAAGCTGCGGAACTACGTGGTGGACAAGATGCCTGAGAAGCTGGGCTACAAACTGTGCCCCAAGGAGAAGGGCCACTCGCCAGAGGAGATCTACCAGATGGGCCTGAGCAGGGTAGGCCGGCCGGCCCGCAGCCCTGCTCCTCTCCGCGCTTGGCGGGCCACGCTCCACGCTGATGCCCGTGCGCCCTCGTCCTCTCGGGACCACGGCCCAGCCTCCTCCCTGGGCTGGTCTTCCTTCTCTCCCTCCTCCTGGTCTCCCCATCGCTGGCTCTTCCATCTTTAGTTTCCCCGCAGACACTGCCCATCCCCAAAGCGCCATCAGCCTTTGGTCTCTGATCCCCGTCTCCCCCCACGCTGTCCTGGACAACCTCACCATTCCAGGCCTCTGCTGTGAACCTTTGATCTGCAGGCTGATGTCTTCCAGACCCTTCCCCTGAGACCCGGACCTATGTCCATCTCCCCCTGGCCATTCCCCGGGACCCTCCAGCTCCCACTAAGCTCAGCGTTTCCCCCTAAACCCACTCATACTCCCGGGTTCCCCCATCTCACAGTGGCCCCATCACCCCCCAAGTCACGAGGCCAACCCGCACATGCCATCCTTGATCCCTACCTTCCCCTCCCCCTGTCAGTCGTCAGCCACATCCTTCCTGCCCAACTCTCTTGAGTTGGGGACCTCTCTGTCCCCACAGCCTCGGCCCCAACTCATCCCCCATCCTCTCCTCTGGACCCTCAGCCTGCCCCTCCCCTGTGCACAGCCCCCCAGGGCTCCCCAGTACCTCAGCCTCGGGTTCAAGCCCTGAGCAGTCTGGCATCTCCCACCCTGCTAGCCTCATCTTCTCTCCTCCAAGAAATTTTTGTTACGCCCCACAGCCTTCATGGTGGCCCCAACCCCCCGGCTCTGGACTCCTCGTACCTGCTAGGCTTGGTCATCTGCACCCACACCTACACCCATGTGCTTGCTGCCTGCCCTGCCTGGAGGCCTTTTCCCTTTCCCACCCAGGGAACTCTGGCCATCCCTCAAGAACCAGCTCCCATGTCCCCTCCTCCAGGAAGCCTTCCCTGATGTCCTCAGGGAGGAGCTGGCCTTGCCTCCTCTGGGAGCTCCTAATTGCCCATTTCCCCTCAGGGACAAGGGTGGGCGCCAAGTCTGGGCCATTTCCTTGCCCTGGCACGCCCTGTTCAGGGAGCCTAGGGCAATGCGAGGTGAAAGGTGAGTGAGTGAGTGAACAGGCACATCCTTCGAGGGTTTCCTGGCCACAAGGGAGAAGCCAGGTGGACAAAGAAGAGGGCAGCGAGGCTTCCAGGAGGGGACAAGACTTGAACAGAGCAGCGAAGGATGGCCACTCGTGTGCCAGGCTAAGATGAGGCAGGGGGAGCCAGCGTGGTGGTGGTGGGGTGGGCTGGGGGAGGAGAGGCGGCCACAAGGCTGGTCCAGGCACTGGACGCTGTGCTGTAGGACCTGAGCTGCTGTAAGAGATGGTGACCAAGGGGCCAGCAGGGGCCTCAAACGCCAGGGTGAGGACTGGGACTCTGGCTCCCGGTGCTGGGGAGCCACGGAGGGCTTCGGGCAGGGAAGGGACCAGTGGACACACCGCCTCAGCAGTCAGGCCCTGTCAGCGCTGACAGGTGGCAGGGGGGACTCTGCCTCTGTGCCCACAATGATCGAGGTGGCAGATAACCCCTGAGCCCCAGGAGGACACAGCACTGGCTGAAACAGACAGGACCCCTGCCTGCACGGAGCGCACGGGCCAGCACAGCTATAAGCCAAATAACGCCCAGCCCGGATGCGTGCGACAGTGTCTGGGTGGCCGAACACCCGGATGAGGGCCATTAACGACTCGGGAAGACTTCCCAGGGTGGTGACAGCGGAGTCGCAGCCAGCGGAGAGCGGGGCTGAGTGCACAGCATGGGCGGAGGCCTTGGGCCTGAAGAGGACTGGTCCCTGGGGCCCGTGGGCAGGAGGGGGAGGTGAACCCTGGTCTGGACTCCCGCGCGGCGTCCGAGGTCCTGTCCCCTCAGCTCAGCGCCGCCTGCTTGTTCCACCGCAGGCCCGCAAAGATTTCGAGACACTGGGCTGCAAACAGGCAATGAAGAAGTTCGAACAGCACACGCTCCTGGTGAGAGGGGGGGCCTCGCGGCGCTGCCTGAGAAGCAGGACAAGGAGGGTGCCCGTGGGCTTCGGCCGGGAGGGAGTCAGAGCGCAGGGACCCGGCCCCCAGGCCTGCCACCGCCTCCTGCCTGACCCGGGGCTGGACAGTCCGCCTCTCAGGCTTCAGCTTCCCTCAACTGTCACAAGAGGGGGGACCGGATCGTGAAGGACCGGGGACCATACCAAGCCCACGGTGGTGTCCCAGAACCGAGCGGCTCGGCCGGGCCGGGGGCCGGAGCGGGCAGGTGCAGCCTGCCTGGGCCCTGACCCGGGTGCGCCGTCCCCAGGAATACCTCCTCGGGGAGGGGAACCTGAGCCAGCCGGCCGCGCGGCTCCTGGGAGACGTGATGTGCGAGGACGGCTTCTTCTATCTCAGCTTCGCCGAGGCCCTGCGGGCCCACACCTGCCTCAGCGACCGGCTCTGGTGAGGGGCGGGCCGGCGGGGGGAGAGACGGGCGCCCGGGCGGCCGCACCCGCCCGCATCCCGGGGGCCCGGGAGGGACGGGTAGGAAGGGTCCCCGGAGGCGGCGTGGCCCCGGGCAGAGGCGGGCTCCCGCGTCCCGCAGTTCCCCGCTCCCCGGCCTGGGGGACGTCGGGGCCAGGCGGGGGCGGGGCGGCACTAGAGGTGAAAACCAGCCCCGGGCGGCTGGGGGTGGGCGCTGGGGAGGGGGCCCTGGGGCGGGGCAGGGCCCGAGAGCCCGCGTCACCTCCCGCCCGCCCGCAGGTACAGCCGCATCGTGGGCGGCTGGGACCTGCTGCCGCGCGCGCTGCTGAGCTCGCTGTCGGGGCCGGTGCTGCTGCACGCGCCGGTGGTGGCGCTGAAGCAGGGGACGCAGGGGGTGCGCGTGCACATCGCCACCTCGCGCCGGGAGCGGAGCATGAAGGCCCTGGAGGCCGACCTGGTGCTGCTGACGGTGAGCGGGCCGGCGCTGCGGCGCATCAGCTTCTCGCCGCCTCTGTCGCGCAAGCGGCAGGAGGCGCTGCGCGCGCTGCACTACGTGGCGGCCACCAAGGTGTTCCTGAGCTTCCACCGGCCCTTCTGGAACGACGAGCACATCGAGGGCGGCCACTCCAACACCGACCGCCCGTCGCGCCAGATAGTGTACCCGCCGCCGGGCGAGGGCGCGCTGCTGCTGGCCTCGTACACGTGGTCGGACGCGGCGGCCACCTTCGCCGGCCTGAGCGTGGAGGACGCGCTGCGCCTGGCGCTGGACGACGTGGCGGCGCTGCACGGGCCCATCGCCTACCGCCTGTGGGACGGCAGCGGCATGGTCAAGCGCTGGGCGGAGGACCCGCACAGCCAGGGCGGCTTCGTGGTGGAGACGCCCAAGCTCTGGCGAGCGGAGGACGACGACGGGCCGGACTACGACTGGGCGGTCCCCTACGGCCGCATCTACTTCGCCGGCGAGCACACGGCCTACCCGCACGGCTGGGTGGAGACGGCCGTCAAGTCGGCGCTGCGTGCCGCCGTGCTCATCAACAACCGCGTCAACCGCGGGAACGGGCAGACGCGCGCGATGCCCAGCCACCCCAAGTCCGAGTGCGACTTGGAAAAGGGGGAGGAGCCCCACCATCCGGACCTACGTATTTTGGACGCACCGTACGTGACCGACAAGAGGACCCAACATTAAAGTATTTTTGGAAAAAGCCGTGGTCCTGCCCTCTCCCTGGCTCTGTCGCTTCCCCCATGTGCATGGAGCAAAGCCACTAGCCCTCGCGGTGGAAGGGGCTGCGCCCTCCTGGAGTCCCAGAGGCTGTCCTCCTTCCTGGGCAGTGTGGGGCCGAGAAGAGGAGCGGGACGGACACTCTGCACCGCTCGTAAATGGGAACCACGGGGCGCAGCCGGCTGTCACCACACAGAGGGGTCCTGACGCAAGTAACAGAAAGCCCGACCGACAGTGGGTTAAACACGAGTTTATTTTTCTCACGTAACAAGAAGTGGTAGGCTGGGTCCCCAGAGTGCGCGCAGCTCTGCAGGCCCTTCCATCTCGGTTAGGACCAGGATGTGTCCCCGCACAGCTGCCAGGTGGTGGCCATACCCCATCCTCATGCCTCCAAATGCCCCAAGCTCCGGCAGCTAAGGGAGTCCTGCCTCCACAAGCCCCTACCAGTCACCCCCAAGGGACCTCCTCTTCCGTCTCATCGGCCGGGCCAGGGTCATGTGGTGAGACGTCGGTTCCGCAGAGCGGCCAGGGGGACCATGAGCCACCACCCCCTCCCCATCTAGGTCCAAGCCAACGTGGCAGCCTCCTCCACCCACACGAGGCCAGCTGGACACGCGGAGTGTCAGCTTAAAGGAACCAGCTCATCAGGAGGGCGCAGGAGGCCCCCTCCCCCCCCCCCCCCCCCCCAAAAGCCCTCAAAAACTCTCTCCCTCAGGTGCACTGTTTCTGAGTCCTCCATCACAACCAGTGGCTATTACTGGGACTGGGTCCATCAGTACATATATTCTATCGTTAGCTCTGGCTACAATCCACCCCTCAAGAGCGACATCCCGTCTCCAGAGATACATCCAAGAACCAGCTCCCCTTGTAGCTCAGCTCTGTGACCACCAAGGATATGACCGTGTCTT